TAACATGGGAGTCAAGAAATTTAGGAGGGTCAAACAAAAAAAGAAGTTGGATGATAGATCGTCTCGCTTAAAAATACATACTGAATTTATGACAGATATGAATACCGCTGGGCACACCACACCCAAACGCCGATGAAAGCTAATTCTCATATTCTTCTCAACAGTAAACTCACTTGTCAATATTTTTGAGTTGGGTTAAGAAATAAATAACATAAATTTATAGAATAATAATAAACTATTTAATACAAATTTATTTTAGACCGCAATACTTCTGTACTTCACTTGAGATAATGTCATAAAGATCTTTTCCCACTCTGTCCTCATAGCCTTTGTAGTAAATTTTTGTATTATTACCCTTCTAGGAGTTTTAATAGCGCATTGGTTAAATGAAAAATGTCATTTTATTTTATTTATGACGGGATCCACTATATTTCCTTTTTTTATTGCTCTCTTTATTATAGGAGATAAAGACGTGTGCTTCCCTAAAATTCTTTTATTGCCATAAAGTATACCATTTTTATAATAACTATGCTCACCACGCAAGACCTAATTTTTTATATTTTATGTACCTTATAACCTTAAAACGTAGCTTTACTGGGAACGGAAATGAAAACAATTCTGCAAGATGGAGAGAATGAAATAGAAAAACTGTTCAAATATCTAAAGAATATTCACTATTATCAACGAATATAAAATGGAAACATTAAGCCAATGACCCTTAGAGGTAGAGGCTAAATAAAAAAAAAAAAAAAAAAAAAAAAAAAAAAAAAAAAAAAAAAAAAAAAAAAAACCTAGCTTTACAAACGCCTCTTCTCTTCTATATACTTCAAGAAATTTTCTCTTATATTTCTTATCTTGTGCATCGTTCAATCTTAGTTATTATAATATACAGTGAAACGTTTTTTTTCAACGGACAACTCGGTAAATCCTGCCAAATTTAAATAATTGTATATTATTTAGGTTTTTCTGGATTCTGGATGGACGCTTTCTATGAAGGACGCGGACGAGGTAGTTTCTCCATAACGTTGAGTTAGAGATTCCGTTCGGACTTAAGGATTATAGTTTTAATCTTTCTTTGTTAGTTTTCTGGTAGAATTAATTGACTCGCGTCCAGTTAAGTGAAGGGAACATGAAAAATATTATTCGCGAATCATTCGTTCAACTAAAAACTCTTAAAATATATATATATATATATATATATATATATATATATATATGTATGAGAGACATTTTTAAATGTGGCGGCTTATTCTCGCCCTCCACCTGCTTAACAAACTACAAGAACAAATAGTTCACCTGTCCGCTACCTGGCAGTGCCACACGAGCTCACTCGTGCAATGTACCAAAAAGATGTATTTATATTTCTTATTGTTTTATGGTAAAATACTCACATTATAAGTTGAAATATGTATTTACATTGTAAATACTTTTTATTAATGAAGTTTAATGTTCCTGCGGAATGTTAAGGTTGATCCCTTACACCGCAGACCAAGAGTGATTTGGATGCTGATCCGCCTGACACTTGAGGTCATCCTGTATACTCATCTTCCTCGATCCACTGAGTCATATTACGCCTCTACTGAAGACGCTCTGTCGAGGCCTTCTGGTAACTGTATATATAATCTGTACAATACCTCGACAAAAGGATGAAACTTTTTTTTTTCTAAAAGATCTTACCTTACCATTAAGATGAAGTGGCATATATATATATATATATATATATATATATATATATATATATATATATATATATATATATATATATATATATATATATATATACACTGGCAGGCAATGAATTCCACCCACTTGATTTTTCCATGTTTTCACCTAAAAATATTTCTGCCACTTGTAAAAAAAGTTGTATTTGTATATGATACATGGTATTTGTAGATAATACTTAGTATTTATGGAATTTTATAATCTTTTTTACCTTTAATAATCAAAATGTGATTGGGTGAGAAAGACTAGAGAAAAAAAAATTGAAAAACGAACCATTATTTTTCTAAAAAAATTAATGACATCATCGTTTAGTAGCGCGTGTTTCCTCCTCTTGCCTTCACTACTTCTTTAAGACGCCTCGACATACTTTCCACCTGTCGAGAAATGTTCCTTTGCTGGAGGATAGCCCATTCCTCCCGAAGAGCCCTTTCAAGGTCCTGCAGTGTATCAGGAAGTGTTGCACGCGCTCTTATTCGTCTTCCGAGGTTATCCCATAAATGCTCAATGGGGTTCAAATCTGGAAAACGTGCTGGCCAGGCTAAACCTCAATATTATTCTATTGAAGGAACGTCTGCACTATGCGGTCGACATGTAGGCGTGCATTAGAATAAAACGATCGCCGATTTCGTTAAGGATAGACAACACATGAGGTTCCAAAATCCCATCTACATAGCGAATGGCCGTCAAAGACCCTCCACGAACAACAACTACTCCTGTGCGGCGCTCCATTAAAATCCCAGCCCACACCATTAAGGAACCACGTTGGAAAGGTTGGCTGTGGGAAAAATTACAGGCTGCGTATCTTTCGTTTCTTCTTCTCCGAGGATATATATATATATATAGATATCCTTTGTTCAAGAAAAGTTAAGATACAATTATGGTACAAATAAGCCTTATCATCTGAATTTTATGTATATATTTCGCTTGACCTTTTACTCTCCGATTTAGTTTTAGTTAAATAAACTTTAACTAAAACTAAATTGGATATATATATCGCTACGCCGCGCCAAATCATAATACTTTAATAACGTTTTATCTCAAGCACCTAACCGTAAATACAAATGGGGAATTCTTATGAACCTCTCTGTCGTTAAGTTTAAAGCCTGTACACAATATTCAGTCGATCCAAACAAGCTGAATTTTTTTGCAAGCTAAACATCTTTTATCCACATTTTCACCACACCGATCACTTTTTTCGAACCTTATAGGATTTATTTTCTTAATGTCCTATTATCTGCCATTCTTAAATCCTAAATCAATTATTGTGGTCCTAACCAATCACTCGTTAAAGTTATCAAACTCTGCTTTCCAGCCTTACTTTCCTCATTCTTAAACATCTATGATTTCTTTCTTCAAAATTCCATTTTTTCTAAATTCTGACAACCTATAGAATTACATATCCTCTCCCATAAAACTACTCCTTTCAGCGAATCCTTCGTCATTTGTGCTGCCTTCTTTTGGAACTCTTTATCTACTTCCATACGCCAATCCTCGTCCACAAACTCCCTAAAATAACTCTTGTTCCAGCACCAACTCCATATTCAATCTTCCGGAAACATGTAAAATTTACCTTGCGTCTGTATAGTATATAATTCAATCAACTGCACAATTGCAATTAACAATTAATGAAAACGTAAATATTAGGATTAAGGAAATTAGAACATAGTAGTTCGCGTATGAATACGTATGGATTCTATTAATAGAGGTATGGGTATAAAAGATCCATCATACTCGCTGCTTTGAATGAATATTTGAAAAATCTTTATTTTTCATGTTTAAAAAAAGTAGTTATGCAATTAAGTTTATCTTAATACGTTCCAGACTATGATGAAAAAAATTAAAGCTTTGCGATAATTCATTGCAGCCGTTTTTGTGAAAACTCGGGCACTTGCAAGTGACAGGATCTCAAATCGCATGAATTTTTACACAATCATGGTCGTACGCAGGTGAGGCTAGGGATGGGGCGTTTCGTCGCTGCGAATGATTTGAACGAAGAAGTTGCAAGACTCCCAAACATAATTCTGTAAAATTGTTCTTCAATTTATATATTGTGTTTCATGTAACAATATTACCTGCCCTCCAGTTTATATTGACAACAATCAAATTCCTCAAACGGACATGGTACTTTACCTTGGACTCACCTTCGACAGAAGGATGACATGGGGTCCGCATTTTAAAATGAAACGTAAGACAGTTAACAAACGACTCAAACTACTTTACTCTCTTTTTTCTAAATCTTCAAAACTAAAACTAAATCAGAAACTGAATACTTATACTTACTTAAACCCATATAGACGTATTCATCACAAATATATGGTATCGTAAAAAAGACCATATATTTATTATATATAAGACGTTTGAAGTTTACAAAAACTTCAAACGTTCCAATCAAAATTATTGCGACTCATAACAAAAGCACCATGGTACGTGACTAACAAAACTCTACATACTGACCTCCACTTTCCAACAGTTGACCAACATATAACGTCCCTTTATCAACGATTTTACACAAATTTAAACGGACATAATAACAGACTTATAAGAGACATGGCCACAGCTGACACACCTCAGAACATGAGCAGGGGACTAAAAAGGCGTTGGATGAGGGATCTCCTTCTTTAGACAACCTAAGTAATTGGAACAAGTTAGGGAAGAGGTACTGCTGAGTACTTTCCTTTCCCATGCCTGTCATGTCATTATATCATATACCGCTATCACTGTAACAATATTTATGAATTGTAATACCAATAAGCAACTTTGTATAGTATTATAGATTTTGAAATCATTATTCTACTTGAGATTCTTCTTCATTCAGTTGTCTTCTCCCTCCTCCCACAAAATATGAATGCTGTGTAATCCCTTGTACACAAATTTAGACGAATCTCGACTTATTTCGTAACAAACCTAAACTTAATTAATATGGACCCGAAACTTTTTAAACGAGGAAGTTTTTCTAAAAGTTGGGTATTTATAGTATATTTGGTGAATGATAGAAAAAAGTAACGAATAATTTATGATTTTTCTAAAAACAGAACTTAGCTTAGTTTATCCGTTTAAAAGTCCTTTTTATATGGTTTTACCATTAAAAAACTCTACATTCGTTTGAAATATATTTGGTATAGTTTACAGTGAAGCAATTGTTGATTACATAAGTATTTATTTATTTATCACTTCTAGTCAACGAAGAACGTGACGTTTAAAGAATAAACATTTTTTTTTTTTTTTTTTTTTTTTGAACGCGCGAAATCGGACCATGGTTTATTTATACTTTGTTGTTGACCAGCTATAAGCCTTTTAAATATTTTCTTTTATTTACGGGACAACCTGTATATATTTTCAGTGGGAGTAGGTGTAGGTGGCAGCACTGTAGCGGGGGAAGGACAGAGGCTCAGTGGTAGCGCTGCTGCCGAATGGCGCGTACCGAAATGGATCTATGTCCTGAAAGCTCAGTCCTTGATAAGGTTATCATATGTTCGCGTATATACGTCTCTTATCATATATCATATATTTATCGAATTATATAATGTACATATATAGTGAGTGTCCTTTGTGCCCTGGTTGTAAAGTGTCATGAATGAATTTTAATTTACAAGTTTAATTTTTTTTTTTAATTGGTATGAAACTTTTGGAATTTTAAGTTGATCAGCATTAGTGATGGAAAACTATACTAAGGTAAATTTTGATACATATCTTCCTCAGAAATAGTTTTTTTCACAAAAATTTAATAAGATAATTTTTCTTGTGATGTTTTATTATTTTTATCTTTTAACAAGAAGCAATTGATATTTCATCAGGTGAATTTTTTTTTTAAATATGTATTATTTATTATTTGTATAAAAAACATTTACTTATAGAAACAGGATTTTTTCATTGAAAAAAAAATAATCAAACAGAACTATGCAATGTATAGTAAATATGCTTTGAAAACGCAGTTACTTGATATTATATATATATATATATATTTTTTTTTTTTACAAAAATTTTAATAATTTAACAAACCGATTCAGAATACATTTAATAATATAAAACAAAACCAACGTTTTAATAAAAAAAAATTAATTTATTACTTACGAGTTATTACTTATATTATTAATGGTAACAAAAAAACGTAATGAAATAGAAGAATCGACTTCTATAATATATATATATATATATATATATATATATATATATATATATATATATATATATATATATTAAATGCATAAGTAATTTTAAAACACAATTATAAAAAACTTAGTGATTTATTTAAAAGAATTTTGTATATAAAGCTATGACATGATAGGAGGCAATAGTGAAAGTAAAAAATTATTGAAAACTTGTTCTTTTGAAGAAGTTGTCAACACATTGCGTTATTTTATTAATCTCTTATAGATTAAAATAATAATCATCAAGTATTAAATGAGTTAATAATAAAATAATGATTAATAAATATCTTACTGTTTACTTCTAAAATCATGATTTATTACAATTGAATTAAAGTATTCTTGTTTTTTAATTCAACATTTTGTCGGAAGTTATAAATATATAACATATTTTTTTTACAATATAAATGTGCATTATTATTTCTAATGCACTGATGCGGAAAGATTTTCGTTCAACTGCAGGCTGTAAAGGAAAAGAGCAATAGAGTGAATACAAGTTTATTTATTTTTATTTATTCATCTTCAGTTTATCAAGATTAATTTTTTTTTATGGAGATTATAAGAATTTTTAATAATATGTTATTGATTATAAATAAAAATTATATTTTTTTATAAATAAATTTCTCACATGAGATAATTTTGATTAATTTCGTTTCTGTAACTAAAAGAACATTCAATATATACTAAGGAGCTTTAGAAGTGTTTGCTAAAACTTTGAAGATAATTGTCTTTAATTATGTAAAAATTGAAAACAATGGAAGTTTTTGAGATTAAAACGATTTTTTTTTTCACCTGATGAAATAAACCAGATTTATGTTTTTTAAATGTGTTCACATAATCCAAATCAATCTTCCCAGTTTATGATTAAATATGAAGTTTTATTTACAACGATCTATTTTTCACTAATTATTATAATGCGAATCAGTTTATCTTATGATGCATAACTTTGTTATGACATCATATATTTTATTTTACCTATAATGTTAAAAATACTTAACAGCAACATTTAATTTTAATAATAAATAAATCAGTATATTTTTAATAACTTTTGTGAAAATTGTTAAGTATTGCTTACTCTTTAAAATGTTAAATAAAATATTTTATCACAACAAAGATGAGTAAACTAGAATATTCAGATGGAAATATAACATGAAATATAAACTTTATTTATAATCGAAATATTCAATTGAATAATAGCGATTAAAATGTTTGTGCTAAATTGAAAACGATATGTGAGACCAAAATCAGTGATAAAAATAAAATATATCATTTTAAATCATAAACTGGGTTTGAGTTATTTATTTTAATAATTATAGCATATTAGATTTTTTATTTATTTATTTATTTTACTTTTGTTGTTTAGATAAAAACGTCAGAGCAATTGATGATTTTTGATTGTTTGAACAAATAAATTATCCAACTCTAATAAATGATCATATCTCTATTTTTAATCTGAAATACTTCTTATTGAATAGTTTACATAACTAACTGTTGAACCTAATATTAGCAGTAATATTTTTTTTAATGATTTAATTTAATTGCAATGGACGTCATTTAAACTACATGCCATGATATTAGAAACGATAAGGTTTCTTTTTATCATTAAATACTTTTCTGTTGCTTAATCCTATTTACAAAAACATAATAATCAGTTTATGTGTAAACAATATTTTTTGGAGATGTTTTCCAATAAAAATTAAATAATTAATTCTATTTTTTTTTTTTAGTCCTTATTTCTACAATAGGCCTTATGTCTTAAAACAAGTTTTAATTGTTGCCAACGTATAATAAATACTGAAAAACCATTTGAATAAAAATAATTCATGTATGATATTATTATTTTTATAATTGTTTTGTGATTACACCTCGTGGAAGGCCGAAAAGCAGATGGATAGAATCAACAAAAATACAATACAGCTGCGTGCAGATAAATGGAAATAAATAGCCCTAGACAGGCAGAGATCTAACAAGCTTGTTTGTTAAGGCGGCAAAAGATCTGCATGGTCTGTAATGTAAACAGAAAATAAAAATAAAAATGGGATTACTAGAACCCTTAATTGTGATATTGTGATTCAGTTTTTTGTAATTTCTATAAATATTCAATTTCTATTAAACGGAATTGACATCTTTAGAAATATTGAGTAAACTTTATAAAAATAAATTACTCTAGATTAATGTAGAATAACATTGAATTAATAAATCAATAATAAGTACGTATAGTTAGGATAAGTGCGTATAGTTATGATATGTAAATTAAAAATATATGATTGATAACCCTTTTCTGGATACATTGATAAAGAATAATAAAAAATGATAATACCTAATTGATCTAATTTTTTTCTAGATTTTCTAAAGCACTAAACTTCGTGTTTTTTTTTTTGCCTAATAAATACAAAATCAATTGAAAACTTGGCAACAAATGCCAAGTGTACACATCACATAGTTTGTTATCGCTTCATTACTTGCTCTGCTGTTTTATCTAACATGACATACCTGTGTCATAAACGACCTGTCTGCTGCAAATTGCCAAAGATAAAAAAAATATCAGTGACATATGAATAGCCTTAATGGGCCACTAACCAAGAACAGTATCACTAAAAATACTTTGTTTCAGATTAAAGAAACCTATTTTTTGAGATACTGTTTTAAGTAATCAATAAATGTATTAATTATATGTATATTTTTTTAACTATTGAAAATTCCAAAAGTAGTTATTATAGAGAAATGTTTGTATTTTAATTTTGTTATTTTATATTTTCTGAGTATTTATGACCAGAGTGCAGATATTTGATATATTATTGGTTTGGACTGAGTGCACAATCGACAATGATACTACAAAAGGAAAATAATATTACTCTTCACAAAGCTGATTAATTTAATTGTGTTTTAATTAATTTGATTTGTACGTATTTACACAATAAATTGACTAAAGTTCGTAAAACACCGAACCATATATAGATTTTTTTTGTTTAATTCTTCTAATATTATTTTTGTTAATTATGTATTATTAACTGGTATATTTTTGTTAACAATTAGTGACATTTTACGATTTACTCGTCCTTAATTGTGTTTTCCTTTATTTTATTATAAACAACTTAATTAAAAACTTAGAATTTTTATTTAAAATAATTAAAACTGAAGAATGATTAAACGTTTTATTTTAATTAATTGAGATATATTACAACCTGAGGGAATCCGTGAGTGGAATTTCGGAACCATTAGAACTGTAGCATAAATAACGAGGCACATCGTAAATAAAGTCTGATTTAAAGGGATTAAATGTATCTGGTATAAACTAGAGGATTAAATTATCTGGTATTATCTCATAGTAACTTCCTAGATACATAATTAAGCATTTAAGGGGTATCTTTTTTTTTTTATAACATTATGGTTAAAAATATTTTAAAATATGAAAAATCACGAATGCTAATTTATTGTGATATGTGTAAGTTTTAGTTTTATAATTTTAGATTTAGGAATTTATTTTTTCATAAACTGCAGAGTACATATTGGATCAGTGGCACTCAATAGCCTATAGGACCACGAATGAATATTTTTTTCCATGTCCCAATATTACTATTAATATTTTTTTTTAATAACTCCAGTTTTATATATAGTTTTCTTTCTTATATATCTGTAAGATATTCCTTTTGCTGTATCTTAGATAAATTTTAAGGTCTTCTTATTTCTTAAATTCTAATCGGGTTGGTAGGGCTCATATCTATCTTGATGTAGGTATTATTGTCAATATTATTTTCGTGTTAATCAGAATATTAAGACTAAGTTAGATTTAATAAAGTTCAGAAGCGAAACTGTGCTAAACAGTGCAACTTTATATGATTATATTAATACACAATTAAACTATCTTTAATATCAACGAATCCTAATGCGCGTTGATAACTAATTTTAATAACTTTTGATCCGATAATGTACATAAATAATTAGGAAAATATTATTATTTATTCCGGAAAAAATCATTATGTAACATCATAGAAAATTAAATTAATAAATAGTAATGTTTACTGAAATTGGTTTAATATTTCACGCCTTAATAATTTTACTTAATTATTATACGACAGGTGTTATTTGTTGAAGAGAAAATCTAGTAACTCGCATTAATATTAAACCATAAATCGATACATTGTGATGAGCCATAATTCATGAGCGGCTTAACTAAATTATTTATTAATCGACCGTAGAAAAAATTTCGTAACTTCATTGACAGGAATTGGGGCTGACCTGTTGATAGCAGTAGACGTAATTGGTAGAGATAAACCATGTTTATACACACGAGACGATCCTTTTATCAACTTCTTTTCATTTTTGGTCGAATATTTTTTAGGTGTTTGAATTTTGGGTAATCCTAATTCCTTCAACTTCATCATAATCTTTTTTATTTAAGATAAATGAGATAATGTATCATGAGTTTCTCTTTTTCTATTTTCTTTCGATATTGACCATTTTCATATTCTTATTTTAGATATTGTAGCTAAATTAAAAAAAAAATAAAAATAGGACATGAAACAA